TCCTGCTGTTAGTGTCATGCTTCCCTTGCCTCATGTCTCTCTGCCTTGTGTATGTGTCATGCTCTCATTGGTTATTGTCTAGTCATGTGATTCCCTTGTCTGTGTTATGTTCTCATTGGTTGCTTTAGTCATGTGCCTTGTTCGCATTGGTTTGTTCTTGTCATGTGACCCTCTTGTTCGCTATAATTAGCCTTCATGTTGTCATTGTTCCTGTTCGTGTATTGATGTTGTAACCCGCTGTCGATGAGTCTAGTCTGTTCATGCCTCATCAAGTCTGTTCATGCCTCGTCAAGTCAAGTCTGTGTATCTTGTTTGGATTATTGTTTGGATCACACTGTAAATAAAACTGCACTTGGGTTCTCACTACGCTCGCCTTCAGTGGACTAATTCATTACAGGTGTATTTGATCCAGTGGCATTAGTGCTGTTTATGAACCAAATAAACAAATAAGAATAATTGCAATACTCATTAGTATTGTCATAATATATCTTGTTGATATTTGTAAAATAAATTAAAAACTATTTATAATCAGTTTAGTTTGCAATATTGTTTTTATGAATACAATGATTTAATAAAGCTAAACTGTCTTCTTTATTGAATGCATCTATTATTTTTTTGCCATTTACAAGGGTTAATAAACCTTTAAGGTGAGTTTTGTCATTGGGTTCCTTCACTGAGATTCTCAGCTTTCCATTTGTTATTTTTAACCAACCATTTCAAAGCTAAATGCCTTGACATACAAAGAGGTCCTCTATTTTATATTTTATCATATCCTATGTGTATATCAATTAACTTGATTTATATATATGCAAAGATAGTGAGGTGTATTTGATCCAGTGACATTAGTGCTGTTTATGAACGGGATAAACAGCACAAATAGTTGCAATACTCATTAGCATAATATATCTGATACTAAAACCTGCACGAGTATGCATCAGGTGATTGCAATTAATAGTAAAAACAGCATTTACTTCAAAATATATTATTTTAGTTCAAAAGTTATTCAAAAAATTCACATGCTTTTGGCTAGTTTTGAGTTTTGAAATGTGGCTTACATTGACTTGTATTTATAACATATTCCTCACACAAAGCTATCACATGACACTTGAGTCAGCAAAATAAAATGTATCGTCTGTCCTCTTCTAGGTTTATTGCTTTTTATTCCACAAATACCTCTGTAAAGATGACCTCAGTATAAATATATATTATGTATTATCTTTTAAAGGAAGTGTGTGATGAAGGCTCAGGCGTTACTCTCCAGCAAGGTACATGCATCTTCATTATTGGTCCGGGACAAGGTCTGTGCACTTCTGTACACATTGGGCTTATACACCCCACTGCCACTTCAAGACAGTCTTTTGGGAAATGTGGACTGAGGGTAACAAGAAGACAAAGAGGTTTGACTTCGGCACAGTATATTAATCAATGTTGTCAAATATACTAGGCTGAGAATTGTATAGTTTTATTTGCTTCTACACATAAATGTAAAGCCAGCTTAATCTTAAAGGGATAGTTCACCCAAAGAATGAAAATTACCCCATGATTTACTTACCCTCAAGCCATCCTGCATCTTTCAGACGGATACAATCGGAGTTATATTAAATAGTGTCCAGGCTAATCCATGCTTTATAATGGGAGTGGATGGTAGCCAAAAATTTGAAGTCCAAAAAATTGCACCCATGCATTATAAAAAGAAGTCTGCACGGCTCCGGGGGGTTAATATCCAACTTGTTTAAAGATTTAAAAGCCCAGCTTCCAGAGTTCAAGTGGTTGGTTCATCATTTACACTGCCTTATAAGGTTCTAGCAAACACTGATAAACTGACCATTAACTAGCTGTAGATCTGTGTCAATTATCTTCAAAATTCATCCTCTAAATAAGTCAGATATTTAATTGATTTTACATTGTTCCACATCTGTGTGGCCACTCATATTGATATTTAATAAATTCCCAGACCATCAACCGCGTGAGTTCCTCATTCTATTAATGTAGATCACCACAAAATCTTGCCAGATGAAGGCAAACACCACCAAGATAGAACATATTGCCAAGCTTTTCACTGGCTTTGAGAAAATGTTCCATAAATAAATAAACAAACATGACAACCACAGTTTCTGTGCTTCACACCTCGTAGTTACTACTGTAAAATCATTACAAAAAAAAATATGGTCACACCACAGTTTTCTGTATGGAAAGTCTAGTTCCTGGCTTTGTTATATAGAAACTGATTATTAACCATTGTTTAAATAAGTAAATGTAAGTTATTAGTATGCGCTAGTGCTAACTCGCTTCGAACCAAGAAACAGAGTGATTGCGCTCGTGCTGATGAGTAATTACGTGCGATCAGGCTGTGAGCATGCGCACTGTCTTCAGCACCACGGCGAGCGTGGACAGCGAGCGCCTCACACTTCAGTTCGCGCGTGTGTGTGAAGACTCAACCGGTGGCTTTTGATTTCTGACTCCAATCGCGTCGCGACTTGACTTCACATCACGCAAGAACTTCACCGTGTCGAATAAATCCTGACAGCGAATAATACTACTAATAATAAAAAGACTGAGACATTTCCACGTTAAATAAAGCCGGATTTGTCCGTGAGAGTGGGATGCCGTCCGTGAGATGATGTTTCTCTGTGGGGGTATTGCGCTTTAGAAGCTCCGTAATCCAGAAGGATGCTGGTGGGAAATGCCTGTCGACAGAGAGGACGAGATTTGTCAAAAAGCGCTAGAACTCTTATCTGATCTTTGTTCTAAGGGGGAGGTTCAGAACGAAAACTGTTTGGATTTCATTTATTATTTCCGAGACCTTGCCAGGCCGAGGTATTCGGACTCAGGTAGGCGAAATAGTAGTTTATTTTTAATTTGATTCAGTATTGACTTGTTGCTCAACAATTTATTCAATTTCAACCTCAAGATGTGAGGAATGTCGATTGCATTCACTGTGATATATTTTACTTGACGTCATATTTGGTGTCGATTCAGTATGGTGTATAGACTCAAATACTGTTCTCAGAAATAAAATCTATCATCTATCTATCTATCTATCTATCTATCTATCTAACTATCTATCTATATTTATTTA